GTGTCCTGCTGACCGTGCTTCTTCTTGGAGAGCATGCGTCAAAGCCTTTGTTGGGAAATATGATATCAGTCTCTGGATCTGGACGCGGGCGTACTACGGATAGCCATGAATTGTCACAGAGGGGGGTCACCCACCTGAAGTTGAGCTGCATCGCTAACATTTCGTTTGAAAAGTACGATCGCTCCAATACCATATTCGTGGATCAGAGTCTTTATTTCTGGGCTCGGAGTAAGGCCATGGAAACCGACCGCAAAGAGCTAAACTCCGCCATAGTTCAGTCGGATGTTTCTTGATGGGCAACACAAGGCCGAGTGATATCATACCTGACCAATTTGCTTCTGCAGGCCAGTCAAAGGCATTGTGAGAATACTTCTTCCTTAGTGGAATGGAAGATCAAGATGAAGTGTTACGAAGCTGTGGTGCCGTAGGAGGGGCAGAGCCGATGGGGTACACGCGTTTGGTTTATCGATAAGAACCAGTGGAGTCGACTAATTTTAGATCTCGGCAAAACGAAGGTGGACCATCAAGCTAGAATGTAATGAGAGGCCGCGATACAACAACAAGAAGCACGACAATTGGAGCCAGATAGAACATAGGGGTTGGTGTCGAAATGAGAGAATAATAGTTGGGAAAAGAGGGGCGCGAGACGATCAGTGCCGGCGGAGTAACAGCAGATTGAGTTTATTCAACGTGCGGGTGTGCAGCCTCGCGATCTATTTCCGTACTATTTCCGTACCCCCCCCCCCCCCCCCGTACCCCCGCAAGCCGTCCCCTTAACATTCATGCCCCTGTAACCACTGTTGAGCAATTATCCTCTTGTAGCTATTACGAGAGTTTTCGAGCAGCACTTATCTAAAGTCAGTGGTGAAATTAGGAAAGAGAGGACAAGTCAGTAAAAACCCTAGCCGTCAAAAACATGTCATATGAGGTAGCCTAGTCATTAATTCAATATGCTTAAAATCTGTGATATTTACATTAGAATGATAAGAATCCACAAAAAACTGTCATATCGGTCGCGAAACGGCCGAGATCAATCATCAATGCAGTTGGGTATTATGCTTATGACGTGGCGACCCAGATGGGTTGCCGAAGATTTAAAACATGCGAGGCGCTCTTCCTTTTCCACTTTTCTTCCTTCTTCACCTGAAGCTTTGCATCAACCGCTTCCCTCCATTGAGGACCATACTCCGCGGTCATATATAAGCCACCACCTACAGCTACCAGCAACAGCGCCGAGATGGTACTGAACCACCCCACGCCCATTGCCTCAAGACCAGGTAGAACAACACCCGACCCGAGGGCAGCAAACATATACCGGCAAACAAAGTTCGCCGCGACAACCTCCTCACTTCTACCACTCTCCTGCATAACATCCAATCCGTAAGTATTTAGACTGGGGAAGCAGAACATCGTGGCCACCCCTTGAATAAACATAGCGACAACGGGAACTGGTATTCCTCCGACTTCTTTGTCAACTGTCCAACCATAAACAAGGATGCATGCCGGAATAGCGAATAGAATGAAAGAGACGCAAGAGCGGAGACGGTCTTCTGGTATGCGTCGTCCGTTGCGGATGCGGATGTATTTCCGAGCCACAAGATCGGCCCAACGGCCACCAAAAAAGGTGCCAAAGATGTAGCCACCACCGGGGCCGAGGTAGAAGAGGCCGGCTTCAATGGGGCTTTCAAGGTGGAAGCGAGGGTTGAGAACGTAGCGAATGGGGGTGAGAAGGGCGTATTGATTCCATACTAAGGCGCCGGCAGTAAGGCTAGTGAGGAAAATGTTCGGGTAAGAAAAGACCAAGCGCGCAATGCGAAGGGGGGAGATGTGACTCCATAGTTGCTTGGTTTGCTGAGGCAGACTCTTCCCTTTGAAATGGGTGTTTAATCTGTGACTGATGGTCTCCGGAAAGAATATCATGATGAGGACGGCTGCGAAGCCGTTTAATGCAGCAAGCAGCCAAAAAATGTATCTCCATGGGCGGAAGGTAGCCACGACTCCCTATTAGAAGGTGTCAGTTGAGCACAGATAGGTGAATCATACGTTGTGGATGAGGCATACACCTAGAAAGGGACCAAGGGCAGGCCCGGTCACACTACCTGACAATACCCATCCCAATGGTAAGGCACGAGACATTGGCTCATAGATATCGCCCACGGTGGCACTGCCAAGCACTAGAAATGCAGTTCCCTGAAACGCGGCACATATGCGGAAGATAAAGTAGGCTTCTAGATTGGGGGATAGCGCTGTGGCCACAGTGAAAAGAAAGAATAGTATGGAACTAGCGATGAGGATCTAAGAGAGCAGCTGTTAAGGTTTGGCGGAAAAGTATGAATGTACGGATGTCACTCACCGGACGACGGCCCGATATTTGACTCAAAGGACCCCAGAGGAGGGCAGCGATCCCCATGGAAGCTAGGTAAAGAGCGTTGCTGGCAGTGATAATATCTGCGTCTGTTTCGAATGTTCTGGCGATCTCGGGGACAGAGGCTAAGATGGCAGTGGAGGATATGGGTCCAAGGATAGCAGAATATGAAAGGATGATAACGACAGTGATTTTTCGAGTAGGCGAGAACCGGTTGTACTGATCGTCATGGACTTCTTCGGGGATGCTTTCATGAGGCAAAGTACGGTCTGAGTCGTGAGTGGTGGCTTGAATGAGTGTAATGGTTGAGTTGAGAGGCGGTCGATGCTCGTGTCTGGAGCTCTGACGTCCATTAGGGACGACGAGGGTCGAGGACGAATTCAAGAACTTTGGGTCGAACATGTTGCTTGGTCGTCGACGCTGTTCAAAGTCACAGAGAAAAGGCTTCCGTTATTGTTGAGATAATTCTGCTTGGTTTTCAGAGCGAATGTATAAAGTCATGAAGTACATTATGCAAGAAAAAGGTCGATTGATGATAAAGAAAGAGTGTATCTAGATGAATTTGTAATGGATCAAAATCAAATGAGAGGACGGGGCTCCATAGCACCCAGACACCTAGATACTGTACAGCAATGAGCAATTAAGCATCCAAAAAAAAGAATGCCTTAGTACCGTGGAGCCACCAGCAGATTTAAGGAACCTGGCCAGCAAAAGGCAGGGAGTCTCGACTACACGTGGAGTATCACGGCTCCATTTTTCAGCGCAACTATCGTCGGTGAGAGGGCGAGACTGTCAGATTAACAGCCCCTAAAAACACTTAATCGCCCAGAGAAGTAAGAGCAGAGCCTTCTGCAATATCCACATACAAGTTTAGCTCAGATCAAACTTTGGTAGCCGCTAGACCATTGATGCTCACGCTTGAGAAACTAGTTATAAGCTTGGGGCAAAAGCCGGGAACCTTAGCTTGCCGCGGAGGTAAGAACCCGATCTGCACAGGGGCGCCAGGAACGATTTCCTGCACAGCCAACGGCGTGTAAGCCATTTTGAATCAGCAGCCGAGTTCAGGAAGCATGTTAAAAATGACCGAGCCCATAATTCGTTGCACAGAGTTTTCCAGATGGCAGAAGTTATATCAGTAATCTTGCAAAAATTCAAAAGCGTCCGGGGTACGGCAGCTCTCGTGTCGAACACCCAGTAATCGGCCCAGATACTAGGGCCACAGTGGAGACTGGGGATTTCACACGACTCAGGAGAGCTGAGAGACAAGTTCGTGCTTCCTACCTGGTCGATCACGCCCACTTCAAAATAACTTGGTTTCGTACTACTTGGCAATCATTGACTGTCTCTTGGTTGTAGGGCTACTTGATCAGCTGCTAAAGATCGATGACTTCGAATGACGGTGTTGATCTGATCGAAGGCCTCAGGGGAAAGGCATAAGATACATCAATATGAGAATGTGCGTGGGTGTCCACCTATACAGGTAACAGAAATCGAGGCCTTCGAAGCCCGGTCTCATTCCGTATCAAGGTGGTTGACCGAGAAGGCGGACCCTCCACAGTAACATCCCAAGGTTTCAACAATGAGGAGGTCAACCTTCCGCTTTCGTCAAGCTTCAACCCCGGGAAAGCCTTTCACTTCCATTCATCCGGTCTGTGGTGGAGGCTATCCTTGGGACCATTGTGTCAGAAGCTTGCAGTCAGTCTCGATCCACTCAGGCAACCTTGACCCAATGGTCATGCTGAGCATGGTAATTCGATGGGGTTGCAATCATGCTGAGCGATAGATAGATAACATACGGCGCCCGGTATGGCAGAGTAAAGGCAGAGAGTCGCATCTGAAATTCAACTATACAAGCCCAGCGATAAATATGATACAGATCAGTACAGTGTAATTGTTGCTGTTGGGGAACTTCCAGCCACAGTTCGGTCGCCAAGTCAACTGATAAGTTATCACGAGATCAGGGGTAATGGTAGAGAGTAGAGGATTGTTGTAGGCACAACAATCACGGATTTCTTTTGCGGTCTGTTTTTGCACATCTTGTTATAATTGCTTTTTGCCCCCTCCTCTTCCCTTATTTTCTTTTTCTTTGCCCGCCCGTTATTACATCTTAATATTCAGTTATTCTCCACTGCGTAGTAGGCACAACAGGATTAACGGAGTGGCTGGCTTAATATAATCTCCGCCACGAAGCTAAGACGCAAGTGGCACGCGAGTCGAGAACATGAAAAAGCCACCCAAATAATACGATGATAGAATGAGGCTGGCATTTAGAAACTCAGTCCATTGTGTTATTCATCCCTTGACTTTGGAAGTCATCCCTATCCATGGGAAAGCAAGCAGGACAAGAACATCCGCAGAGCTTAGCTCAGCCACCCATGACGTCGAAAGAGCTGACCCCCTGCGCGGGTGGCTTGAATTCAGTTTGGTGGGTGACCCGATCGCCCTCCGGCCGCTTTCCTCTTCCACTCTCCCCTCCCCATGACATATTCACCTGTCTCCCTCCTGTGCCTCTCCCCTCTTCCTTCTCTCTTCCCCGCTTCATTCTTTCTCTACCGTCCTCCCAGGGCTTATTCTTAGCCAGTCCTGCGGTTTTGTACCAAATCAGTAGTCGAGATATTGTCTTTACATCTGCAACATGAGTTCCAGCAAGGATTCAGCGTCCGGCGTTCCCGCCCACAGCAAAGGTTCCTGGACAAGTTTCCTTAAGGTATGAAGTTTGAACGACCGATTTTCTTCTAGGAAATTGGTCCCACATCCTAGACTGCCTAAACTCGTATTGCTTTACGGAGCTTGGCTAACCGATCTCGTTCCTTCCTTCAGTCTATCGCCTCCTTCAACGGAGATCTTTCTTCCTTGACCGCCCCGCCCTTTATTCTCTCGTCCACCTCCTTGACCGAATATTCTGCCTACTGGGCCGAACACCCAGGCCTTTTTGTGGCTGCTGCAAAAGAAGCGGATCCAGAGAAGAGAGCTCTGGCCGTCTTGAAGTGGTTCCTCAGCACTCTCCACCAGCAGTACTGCAGTCGCAGTGAGAAGCTCGGTAGCGAAAAGAAGCCCTTGAACCCTTTCCTGGGAGAGTTGTTCCTTGGCAAATGGGATGCCGATGCGGATGTGGGCGAGACCACCTTGATCAGTGAGCAAGTCAGGTAGGTGGTACTATTGTACCCACTCTGCTTCTGGATCGTATTGACCGCTTCAGCCACCATCCCCCTGCTACTGCCTATGCTATCAGAAACGAGAAGCATGGCGTCGAGGTATGTAGCTATTCATGATTAGATGTACGAAGAGACTCTAATTGGAAACTCAAATGTAGCTACAAGGATACAACGCCCAGAAGGCATCCTTCTCCAGCACCATTCAAATCAAACAGATCGGACATGCTCTGTTGACCCTCACTCCTCCAGGTGCGGATAAGAACGATCCTTCTCAGCAGGAGCGCTACCTGATCACCCTCCCGCACTTGCACATTGAATCCCTTATTTACGGGACGCCGTTCGTCGAATTGGAGAAGTCCACTCGCATTGCCAGCAGCACTGGCTACGTGGCGAAGATTGACTACTCTGGCAAGGGCTGGCTGAGTGGCAAGAAGAACACCTTCAGCGCCATCCTTTTCAAGGAGAACGAGGGCGAGAAGAAGCCTCTGTATACTGTTGACGGACAATGGTCAGATTCTTTCGTCATCAAAGACTCCCGCAAGCATGAGGTGGACAGATTCTCCGTCAAGGACACGAAGACCACCCCGTTGACTCTGGCGCCCGTCGACCAGCAAGACCTCTATGAGAGCCGGCGGGCATGGCGCGATGTTGCGGCAGGCATCGAGCAGGGCGATATGGATGCCGTGTCCGTGGCCAAGTCGAAGATCGAGAACGCCCAGCGCGAGCTTCGCAAGGTCGAGAAGTCGGAAGGCCGCGAGTGGGACCGACGCTTCTTCAAGCGTGTCAATGACACCGACGATGAGGAGTTCTGGCGACTTGCGAGAATGATCGGCGTTACGTCCTTGGAGAGCGACAAGACCGGCGGTGTCTGGCGGTTCGACCCTACCAGCGCTGCGGACGCCAAGCCCCCTTACCACAAGACCGGCGGCGAGGGTCTGGGAATTACTGCATGAAATGAGTCGACGGTCGGCAGATATACACGTTGCGTTTAATCAACCTCTTTTATAGTCCGGGTGGACGAGTGATCTGGCGAACATGGCATGAACAAGTGCCACTATAGAGTACGTTTGCTTTCATAACAGGATCTATTATTTGGCTTTGGTGGAGATGTTTCGGCACCTGTATATAGAACAGTAACGACGGCTGGATAATCAGCGAATCCCAGCAACATTGGAAAGATGCAGTTCGCGCAACGGAGTAATGAGAATTTGTTTAATAACCCTTGGTAATTTGAGCCCGCATTATCGCTGACTAGGGTTTCTCCCCGTTTCGATCTCCTCCGACGGGGCAATACTAGATTCGATAGTCTAGGGCTGTCTACCTCGGATCAGCCTTCGGTCCGTTACGCCACTCGCTTCATGAATGAGTCAGTTGTCTGACCATCAAACCTTATTGAAATTACCTCTATCAGAGAAACCCAACATTTGGGATGCGATGAATACCCCTGGCCCTGGCCAGCGGGTCCTGATCCATCGTCATCGTCGTCAGCACTACTGAGAACAGAAGGACCTGGGTTCCTGCACAGGCCATGCATCCAACCTTGTTTTTATCTGGATCTTGATCTGTTGAAAGCTACCACATTTTGAGAGACGTCAGTCGATGTCAATTCTGCACAGGGCCTGTCATGGCGATCGTTGATGCCAGGAAGTCACTCGATGTTGTCTGTCACTCAATCAGACACAAACTCCATAGGTTATTAATGTTTCCCTTCACGCGTTCTGCCGTGTTGGATAATAGAAATAGGATAAACGCCGAGGCACCCAATATTTGGGAAAATTTGATACAACTAAGCGGACTTGGACGTCTGATAGTCACTAGCAACCGGCTTAAGACTGGATGTCAGGAATGCAGATCGTAACTTCCGTTCATTAGACTAATCAGTAAGCAGTTAGCAAAGAAGAGCTGAATGGAAATCAGTGGATGTGCTTTTGCTAGTGCCAAGTTTAGGATCTATGGGGCTCTTGTGGGGGAGATGTAGACTGTTCTATATACAGTAATTGCTGCTTCCAAATACTCTTTGGTCACTGTAGGGGTCGAGAACCTTCAGACGGGATCACGATAGCCGGAGCAGTCATCTGTTGGCTTTGTTTATTTTTCGTTTTTTTCGTTTTTGTGTGTATGATAGGTTTTACACATTGGATCCACTGGCCACCTGTCGGTGCTCTTCAAGAAGTTTCTTCTATTCATGCCCCTTGTGCGTCTTTAGCTCTGGACACTTGCAGGTTTTGTTGTTAGTTCAGTACCTCTGATGAAGATAACGCAGGTGCGCACGATCGTTTCGGGCATTTTCGTTACGTTCTACAACATACAATGCATGACTGGCTTATATCCAACAATAAAGCTAAATATGAGAATGCATAACATTCTATGTACAAATCTCATACAATCGTATCATCATCGCTCCGTGTCGCAAGGAGCTCCATCTCAGGCTTCCCTGTCTGGATATCGCCAGGATACCTCGCAGCCCAAATCGCCAGAACGAGCCACATCAACATACAGTCGAACACATAGAGTGGCCACTCATGCGTCAAGAGGTAGCCGTTATACCCCATCACATACTCAACAACACGATAGATTGACCGGACCAGGATGAGACCACTGACCGCGAAGAGCGTATGCATGTGATACTTCCACGGTGACTGTGCTCCGGATGTCGGGCGCTTTTGCATACGCTTGTGGAATACAACCGAGACAATGATGAAGAAAACAAACATTCCCACTTGGAAGATAAGGCCAACGATAACAATGACTTTGGATAAGGTCTGCATTGACTCCACCGCTTGCAAGCCCGCTCCGTTGCCTTGAATGAGGAAGGCAAGAACATCGCTCGTCACAAAGACCCTCGTCAACCAGCGAAGGGAGATTATAGAGTATTGCTCTGCATCGACGCTCCGAATGATCCGACCTAGCGTCATGTATACAGATGCGGCGAAGAGAACTGGAGCGAGGAGGATGAGCACGCCCTGCATAGAGTAAGGCCCAAGCTCCGCTGTATGGAAGTGCGAGATTATTCTTGCGATGAATCCGATGAACTCAACTGTGCTCTGTATTAGTTGATAAGTCTTTCTTTTGCGGGGTGTATATATCGTATCAAGGAACACATACAGATGCCGCCAATGGCTAAGGGGATGTTGAACCATGCTCGGGATCGGAATAGCTTGAAGAAGTGGATTCCGGTGGCCCCCAGAAAGAGGACGAGGAAGATAGCCGCTGCCGCAATGGAGGGCATGTAGCTCCACAGGTAGTAGCCTGGCACATACGGTTCCAGCTTGGCCATGATGGACTGATGTAGTTTGTCTCTTCGCTCGGGGACCTTTATCGAGTTATCCAGCTATGGAGGTGAGATTGTTGCGATATAGGACTTTGAACCCAGCATCCATCTTGGTCTTATATGTCTCTTAGACGTCATATTTCACGTGGCTGGACCGCAGAAAAAGGACAATCTTTTCTTGATAGAATCGCAGAATCTGAATACGCGTATAGAACTCAGCCTTTCTCGAAGCTGTCGGACTCGATCCGTGCCTGGCGATACTACCCGATATGGTTTAGGGGCAGGCGAGGTGGTCTGTGCATACGCGGATTTGTGAACCTCCAATGCTGGCTTTGCTTACTTTTGCCTCTTTCAACGTCCCAATCTCTGCTGCATCCCAAACTCTGAAAATAGCAACCCTTAATTTTTTACGGGCCCGTTGTGACTGTTGTACGGGCACACTTTAAGCTTATCACTAAACTCGGAGCCATGGGCGGAGATCCTTGACCACGAGGCACGCCAGGCAGGATCAATACTACTCACCACCATCGCCACATTAGGCGCATGTGCACCGGAAGATGCGCTCTCAGTAATCGACCAAGTTTTCGTAAGGATGCCGCGTAGGACACATAAGAAGTCGCGCAATGGCTGCTTAGAATGTAAGCGGCGCCACATAAAAGTAAGTTTGATGGGAGTGTCAGGCACACATGTAGCATCAACCTCTGACAATGTGCAGTGCGACGAGAAACAACCGATATGCTCCAACTGTCGGTCTTCGGAACGCTCCTGCGAATATGCGGATCCGTTCATACGGGCGGCCCATTCGCGGTCAAGCAAGTCATCAACCCCGTCACCTGCTGGCCTGGTGACGAATGATATACCCCTGCGGTCGCCTGCACATCCATCTTCTCTTTCTGACAGTCCCCCCGTCAATATGCTTCACGCTGAGCTGTTCTTCAACTTGGTGAACTACACCCTCAGCAGTCTCAGCGAAGGGGAGACCGCTTGGCTTGGTGCTCCGGAAGTGATGCGAATTGTCGTCTCAACGCCCTATCTTATCAATCAAATGCTTGCAATGAGTGCTTTACACTTGAGTATAGTGCGTCCAGAAAACGGAGAGTGGTATCGGCGCCATGCAGCCCATCTACAAACGCATGCCTTGGAGATTTACAATCAAAGGAGACTTGAGGTGAACCAGGAGAGCAATGTCCCACTATTTCTCTTCTCCTGCATTCTCGGCATGCACACTCTGTGTGAAGTCTTAGTTCACCGCGAAGAGACGACTTTCGATACATTTATAGAGCGATTCGTTCGTTGTCTCAAACTCCAAATGGGTATTCGCATCGTGATATCTTCAACTACATGGCAATCACTACGAGAGTCAATCCTCGGGAAACCGCTTCAAGACGGAGCAATCTTGTTCGAATGGGATACGAAACTTGGACCCGAGTGCGCAGGACTCCTGAGGCTCGTTGAAGGGGCTAAACTGGGCGACGCCATCACTTCCACCTATCGGGGTGCGATACAAGCGCTGCAGATGTCTATGAATGCAGCTCTCAAGGCCTCGCTGAAAAATATCGGGGGTGTTACGGGCTGGCCTGTCATAGTCAGCCCTGAATATGCCGAGCACTTGGCAATACAGCGGCCCGAAGCTCTGGTGATTCTAGCTCATTACGCCGTTATTCTACACTGGCATCGGCATTTGTGGTTATTCGGCGATGGTGGCCGCTTCCTTATCGAGTCCATTAGCAGGCATCTGGGCCCGAGCTGGGCTGAGTGGTTGGAGTGGCCGAACCGGAGCCTGAGTGAACCTGGTCGGTTCGGTGGGATGTCGTAATCCCCCTGCGACTGGGGATTCACCATATAGTGATCTATTTATTGGAAGCTCTCGCGGGGCGTTGAGAACTTTGAATGGCTGCCATAATAGCGATGCTCATACCATCCACTCTACCCTTTTAACTTGGACGTGATATTCTTTCGCTTTAGGACTGTAATTGTTTTCTGCCTCATTCCTACATGTATCTGGCGACCTCGAGCACCTTGGGAGAGAAGCCCAGAGATATCAATTCTATGCTACCTAGATATTCGCAGTTGACAATGAACAACAGACTTCTCTCGCCAGCAGACATTCTACGAACGAGGGAAGCAGGATGTTCACCAAGGTCATGTACCTAGTTATATCATTCATTTATTGGTCATTCCCGGAGAAGAATGTAAAATCAATGAAAAAAGAAATACTCTGAAATATAAATAAATCATGTATAAAAGATCCCACCCAGGGAACAACAACACTGTTAAAAAAAGCAGAAAAAACTTAAGTCAAATCAAGCACACACGCCAATTTTTGGCGCTGCTGGGAATCGAACCCAGGTCGAAACGGCGCTGCGGGAAAACCACAACGTTTCATGATGACCACTACACTACAGCACCTTGATTTGTTTAAAACGTTGCTGCTTAATTTGATTAATAAGGCTTTATCACCTCAATAACCGGCTGTGTACCGCTGGGAAAGTGGTAAATTGTAGGATGAGTGGATGTATTGTCTTTCTACAATGGCATTTTACCGGATAGTAGTTGTGGAACTTGATCTATGATGGGTCCCACTCCGTTGAGAGCCGACTTATTAGTTGATTGCTTGTTTTTTTTTTCTCTACTTATTCGCTATGAGGGCGTGCGTGTCTTGGTTTGGCGTTGCTGGATTGATGTATACTATATATCCCAAGATAGGGTACATAGCCAACGTTCGACCTCTCTGCAACTCCCTGTGCCAACCGAACTTCCCAAACAGTCAGCGAGGAAACGTAGAATTAACTGACACCCATGGTCAATTTTGAATGAAGTAGTATCATAACACCATGTGCCAAGATGCTCAGATCGCACCCTGCCGCGAGAAGAAAAGTAGCTTCTCTCCGACGCTCTATGGCCTGCCATATGCTGATGTTAGCGGCGATGTGTCGTGGAAGGTTTCAATCCGTGGAATATGCAGGATGGGCGCGCCTATGTGGGATTATTGCACATAGGTCGACAATCTAGTAAGCGTATACACTCAGCTAAAAGGGTCTAGACCATCATGTTGTTCGTAGCTAGCAGCAGCATCGTCTAGCGGCTCTATATGTATCAGTGTGAATGTATTGAATACCCATCGGGAAGTGGCCTAGGATATGTGGACATGGAACCTGCCTCTACCTCTTACTGCATTTATTCCGTGTGCAATGGAAGAGTTTAGTGCATTGTTGAAAGCATTTGATCATGTTAGGAAGGCGCCAGTGCCCGACTATAAGGTGTGCGGGTATGCTATGTCCCTGGCAGAAGATTGGTAGTGGACAAGAGAAGTAGACCAGCACCACCGAGGGTAACTCAGATTAAAGCACAAGTAAGGAAAACACAAATGCAATAGTGCAACAGTAGCACAGTAGAAGAGATCCCAGCGGATGGTCTCGCAGACACCAAAACCGAAACATTTTGATCAAACAACATGGCCAACATAGACTATTCACCATCCTCCAATTGTATTCACGACGCCCCTTAGAATAACCAATTCATCGATAATCTTCGATCGGCTTTAGCTGAAGTTTCGACAAGTCCTAGGTAACGAAAGCTAGGTTAGAACAACTGAGTAAATACATCAATGATGGGAGTCTTACCTTTTTCATGAGCATGGCGCATTCAGTGCCTCAAGTAGGACCTATGGAAATCACCCGAGTGTATTTGTTGTGTGTTTGCAGCTGTGCCCACCCTTGTTCCTAGCCCGCAACAATTTCTGCCGTCGAACCATTGGGATCCAGACTGATAGCAGCATTGCCTCTCCAGGTGCAGGAAAACTGGAAAGATCCAGGAAAAGGAGACTGGGTAAAGGCAAGATAATATGCATATAAGAAGAAAAAAGGTAACAGGGTAACAGGCAACAGGGTAACAGGCAACAGGGAAAGGGAATGCCCCTCAGAAGGACCTCAAACGGGCGTCCTATGAATATCATCATTCGAGGCGTGGTAACTGACGGGGAAAGTTCAACCTGAGATGAATCTAGGCTAACCCGAACAGTGGCATGTAATAACCCGTGCTCATCCAGCGTGGATGTATCATCATCGCTGAAGACATTGCGGTTCACAAAAACCCCCAGGAGTGGAGAGTTGGTATAGCCACGAATAGCCCAATATTCCGGGAAGATGCCTCTCAGATGATCACCGTCACAGAGGCGGAAAATATTGAACCTACCTCAAGTTCCGAGAAGTAGATGTGAACCTCACGATAGCTTTGAGTGGACGTCTTCCAAGCTCAGAAAGCTCTGAAGGCCTAAGCATAGACCTCCGACTGCTGCCCTGCAGAACCCGATTGACAACAAACTTCGGCTCAGAACAGGCACCGTGTGGGTGAGAAAGAAAGGGTTTGATAAGCAGAGGGGTTATAGAAGAAGAAAAGTAACCTGCTCTCAGAAGACCAGGCACGCAAGACCCTGGAATGAAATCATCATCGAGCAGGTTCAGAGACGAGTAGCTTTGAAAGCAGATTTCAAACTTACCTGACTGGAGGAAGTCTCCAACAAGAAGTCTCTGGATGATGGCTGAAAGCCAGGTAGGGGGGTTTACAGTGGGGAGCCTTAGGCGGTGCTGCGTATGGGGTTTGTTGCGTATGGGCAGTGTCGCATATGGGCGTAGCCGCCTAAGGAAAGATGGGCGTAGACAGATGGGTGGGTAAAGAGCGATGAGTAGGCGAGGTTGAGGAAAGAAGAGAGCTGGGATCTGGGAGGAGGGAGGAGAGGGATTATAAAGGAGGGAAGGCGGAGGAGGAAGGGAGAAAATGCGAGACCAAGGGAAGCGAGAGGCAGGAAGTGAATGGGGACAAGAGAACAGGGAAAAAGTGATGGGGGTAAAGTGTTGGAAGTGAAGTGAAGGGAATGGGTGAAGGTCTTTCCTCCAGGGGAAGTGGTGCTGCTGTCACGGCCTACGCCTGGTGTACAGTTGAGTTGGTGAGAAGGTAAATGGAAGGGGCATTCAATATATAGCCACTTTGGGCAGTAGGGAAAGCGGCATGTTCAGCTTCTGTACTAGCATGCGAATGGGAGATTTCGTGGCACTGGATATGTGCAACGAGGCAACTCCCGGGAATAATACCAGTTGACACCCGGGCAACCTAGTAGGCTGCGATGAAGGAACTTACCGGATTTCAAAGGACTTGATTGAATTAGGCAATGGAATCAGAGCCACCTTGTATGCATGTGTGTCACGGGTACGCCTAGTTACTGCACCTTTCGGGCAATGCTAGAATTCTAGACCTACTACTGTATCAACCGACTTCCCACTCAGCAGTTCATCTACATGTGACTACATGATCGATTATGGTAGCAGGTTTGCCATAGCAGCTCCAATATAGTTGGGATCAATTCGATTTGATTTCAGAGATATTTCCCCATAAACACTCAGCATAGACGGTGAAGGAAAGAGATATGAACTAGATTCACATTCTAATCCTTTCATCCTCTTCCTACTGGGCATGAATACAATTGACCTTTTCCCAAGCACATCTGAATTAATAGTAGCCGTGAGATTCAACATTCCTATGACATGTGTAGTTAACAGAATAGGAATAGATGGAGAAAAACCATTAGATGCCTCTGCAGTACCAGGCCATCGAGGCCCTCCTTTATATATATGTAGGCGCGTACTACTTCACCAACCTGTGAGAGAATGGGTCGTTGCTATGTAGGCAAGATCCGAAGGTATCACCGTCAAGAATCGGAATTGTCAGCTGAAGACTACATCTGCCCCAGCACAAGCCAATTCCACAGCTACGGTCGTGGTTACGGTGTCGGGAAAGACCCGGATTCATGCTCGGAACGCACACACTACTCCATTGTGTCTTTTCCCTCATCATCGTCTCTATAGTGAGTTACTTTTTGTACACCGGAAGAAAAAGCAAGGTCCAACGCCGTCCCAGTCAATTCTTTGCATTCTTTAACCCCCATCCCTTGTCCTAATCCAGCCAATTTGCATGAACGATGTCCCAACCGAACCCAAAGAAGTAGTACAGGAAGCGGAAAGTATGCAAGGTAGATGAGAGCAAGAGAGACCATGGAAAGGTTTTCATCAGACACCGAATCGAGAAGGGGCAAAAGCCGGAGAGCAAAGGAGATAAAGGTGGCGTAGAAAAAAAAAAGACACATCTGAATATAATAGGAAGACACTGGCAAATGTCGTAAACCGTGAACAAGCAACATAAGTAAGAATAAAAACAAAGCGATAACGTTTTTTTCCATTCAATACATCATGAGCGCAACCCTGCAGAAAAGATCAACCAAAGATGTAAAACCAGCCAAGCTCTCATTGAGAGTAACAATTACACACTTGAGAGTGACATAGAGGGGAAAAAGTGTTAACAAGTGAATATAAGAGGAGATAGGTTTTCAATCCAGGGCTTGCCGCGCCCGAGGTAAAAGAGAAAAAGAAACGAGCCAATAGGAATCTCATCACCCGGAAAAGATGCAACGCCATAATCCTTTAGTGACCGTAATTGCCTCCCCAGCCTCCGCGTCCAGAGTTTCCGTAGTAATTGGCAAACCCTGCGCCGCCGTAGTTACCGTATCCAGTGGGCTGGTGGTGGGTCTGGCTGGCTGCAGCCTGGTGGCCGCCCAGGGCACCCAATCCGCCATACTGAGGGTTCAGGTGAGGGTAGCCACCGAATCCCTGCTGGCCCTGCTGACCCTGCAGCGGGGGAAGGCCGGTTTGGGCCTGAGGCTGACCAGCGGCGCTGTTGGTCGCGGAGCCGGGACGGTTAGCCTGGGCAAGAGAAGGGCTGGGTCCCGCAGCCTTCGGAGTATCGAAGCTCTTCGTCTCCTCCGTAGTCACCGGAGGCTGCTGGGTGATCGGCTGGTTCTGTCCGAAGCCGCCTTGAGTGCGACCGAAGACGTCCGACATGCCGGTTGCGAAGGCATTGGAGCCGGCGGCTGCCGACTGCTGAGTCTCGGATGGCTGGGCGGATCCAGTGCGGCCGTAGACCGAGTCACGACCGGGAATGGCCTGGTTGAAGGTGGCCGCTGTAGCGGGCGACGACGAGTGGTCATAGGAGAAGGCGTGAGGCTGACCATACATTCCAGCCTTTCCGTACGGGCCATATTGGCTGCCGTAACCATATTGAGTGCTGTGAGGAAGGTAGTGGTCATCATATCTCCGGGCATCATCGTACATCGGGCGGTTCCTGCCGTACTGGTTCATCTGGCCAATGTACGAAGCATAGTGAGGGTTGGAGTAATAAGGGTATCCGTAGCCGTAGCTGTGAGCGCCCTGGCCAGGCATGTGCTGAGCCGTAGGGGTCTGTGTAGCGCCAGGAAGGGTGGGGTTAGGAGTGGTGTGGCCACTGTTAGGAGCTTCAACATGGCCGTAGCGGCTAGGAGGCTGAGTGGTAGGAACATGCGGTTGCACTTCGGCGCCAGAAACACCAAATCCTGCTCTCTGGGCAGCGACCGTGGCATCTTGAGACTGACCGTACGTGCCGTAGTAGTTGTAGGGAAGACGTTGGTCGACGGCATAGAACGGAGAATACTCGCTCCCGGTCGTGACGGTAGGCTGCACAGGAGCTTGGTTGGCAAAGGGCTCCTGGATCTGAGGTTGAGGCTGCGTGACCTGCTGGGTGAAGGGGTCGTAGGGCTTATGAGCGTCGGTGTAGCGGGCGAAGTCAGTGAAGGAGTTTTCAGCGGCAGAGACCTGGGGCACGGGAGGGAGTCCCGGAGCCGGGCGAGAGACTGCAGGGGTTTCAGTGGGCACCTGAGCCTGAGTGGAGGGAGGCAACGAGGCTCGAGGAGCAACAGGGGAGTGCTGAGGGGGCTGCGCACGGGTCTCAGCTTCCTCTCTGTTCTCATCAATGTCAACATCGGCGGCATCGCCGTTCAGTCCCATGCTGCCAAACTGGACCGCAGCACGATCCACAGCATGGTTTCCTGGCATGACTACAGCTTCCTGTTGTTCCATCACACGACGTTGAGTGCCAGGGGTGCGGGTGCTCTGCTTGAAGGCACTCGAAGGGTAAGTTCCAGCAGCAGCGCGCGTGGGAGTGGCAGCCGCTGCAAGATGGGTAGAGTCAAGGGCACTGCCCACGGTGCTAGCTGCGGTAGCCGTGGGAGCAGGAGGAGAGACATCGGGGATCTGGGCAAGGTTGTTCTTCGTCAAATCATCCTTCGGAGCGGGGACATCAGCGGAAGATGGAGTAGCGGCAGGAGCTTCTTCGGCGGCCGGTTGAGGTTGAGGAATAACTGGCTCGGGTGCTTTTTCGGCAGGGACAGGAACGGGGATGGGGACCGGGACAGGAACAGGAGCCTGGGCAGGAGCCGGGGCTGGGGCAGGAGCTGGGGTGGTTTCAACTGGCTTCTGCTCCGTTACAGGCGCAGCAGCAGGCTTCTCGGGGGCAGGGGCAGCGGTGGTAGCAGGAGCGGGAGCGGGTGCAGGAGCAGGAGCAGGAGCAGGAGCGGCAGGTTTCTTCTGAGGAGGAGGCGGCGCCGGTTTGGCAAACAAGCTAGCCCAACCCTTCTTTGTGCCCTCCGGGATCACACTGCTCTTGGGTGCCTCCTTGGCGCCATCGTCAACGTTTTCTGCAGCAGCTGGCTCGGCATCGACGGTCTTTTCGGGCTTGGTAGCTGCGGTAGGCTCAGGAGCAGCCGCAGGCGTAGCTGTGGTCTCCTCGACAGAAGTGGCGACAGCTGGCTTCTCCGTGCGAGTTCCATTGGTATGAGCACCGACCCGACCACCACGACCTCCACGACCACGGTCACCACGGGCGCGACCACGACCTTCAAAGCCACCACGGCCACGGCCTCGAACCGAGGGGGCGACTGTCTCGACGGGAGTGCTCTGTACCTCCTTGGTCTTAGGGCGGCTGCGGTCCGTAGTCTTCTTCTTTACCTCGCCCCATTGAGCGACATTGCCTGTGGGAATAGAAGCAGCAGCGTCAGTAAACCCCAGAAACCCTGAGCTATTCCAAGTAGCAGTATGAAAACCATACCTTCACTAATGCGATCAATTGCCTCCTCAAGGTCACCGTTTGCATCCTCCAGAGCGAAGACCAGATCCTCATCAGTCCAATCAGAGAACAGCTCCTTCAGCATGGGCAGAGTGTCCGAGTATTTCTTCTTCATCTGACCAAGCTCTCCCTCATCTTCATATGCGGTGGGTGCGCCGTCTGAGTTGTCTGCCTTTGTGGATCTGCTACCACCACGACCACCTCTGGAGCTATAGCCGCCACGGCCACCACGGGTAGATACCCTGCCACGAGAGGCAGAAGGCCTTGTTTGAACTTCAGACATATCTGTTATTGGTATTTATGGTTCTCCCGTATGGAGAAGTAAGATGAAGGAATCGGAGAGGACCCAACGTGGACGAAGGGAGGAAATCAAGGTGCGGCTAGTGGGAAGAAAAAGCGGGTAAAAAGGTCGTAACTTAGTACGGTAGCAATGATGAGATGCAGCCTCACGAGAGAGGTCAGCACCAGAACCACTAAGGGCACACAAGGACCGCCAGGTTTTGGGTTTAGGAGAGAAGAAGAGGAGAAGAAAGAGACCGAAAGAGTCGAGAGATAAAAAAGGATGCAAAAGACACAAGAAAAGATAAAAAGGAAATAATAATTAGAGGTGAAGGGGGAGGAGGTGCAGAAAGTTTAGTAGGGAAAGACTACTACTTAGCAGCAGATCGAGTTCATTGAATGGATGGGGTTCGAGGTGTGGATGGGACGGAAGGGGAAGAGAAGGCGACTTTCGGTCGGTCGCGTTGGTTGCCCGCGCCCCGTTTTTAGCGAGCATGCGGTCCTGGGCAGTGTTACCTGCTTTACCTTACCGCGTTCCAATTTACCAACCCGATCATTGGGATAACTACGGAGTAGTAGTAGTACTACTTTGCCAACCGACTTAATTGCTTAGCTACATACAGTGCTACTGGTGCGATTGTAGTAGATGAGAAATGAAGTTGATGGTTCCAGATAGTGCTTTTTTTTTTTTTTTTTTTTTTTTTTTTTTTTTTTTTTGCTCATTATTGAGGTAGAACTGCTCTCTCTACCAATCGGTTTGTTACTTACCTCGTACCACCTCGCCTGATGGGCTTTCCGAGTCTTTGGGTTCGCTCTGTCGATGATTTCGTCATCACTACTTACTGCTAATATTATGACGATGGTAATGTGGAAATCAGTTAAGCCAGGCATGTGTTCCTTCAGATTCGTGGTGGACCGGCACCTGCCACACTGTATTTATCCTACATCTGTTCAAACTCCGACTGGGCGACCAGTCAACTCAATTGAGAGATAGATCATCTTCAGCTCCCTTCCAATTCACAGCCAGGCTGATCGCGTGGTGAGGTGGCACTGGCAGCCCTTGCTCACCGCCCGTCGTTTTGGGCCAAAATCACTCGTGACTTGCTGGATAAGGCGCAGCCCGGGACCTGTCCCCAGCAGAAGGGGTCCAGCCAGTGTCGACAACCTTCATTTACCATTATCTAGCTGCTTTTTGCGACAGGCGCCGCGTGTGTGATAATTCTTCCACTATGAGGGCCTCCCCGGCCGTCAGATATCCTTGGTCCAAATTGCATCTTCCGCTCCCCCGCACCCCTCGTCAGTCCGAGCAACTCCTCAATGCCATCACATCCTCCTTCCGTCGCCAGCTCGACCGTGAATATCCGACCAACAACCCTTCTACATCCGACCGTAATGGAGCTGCTGCCGAGCATCCACCAGAAAGTTCCCATTCGTCTGCTCATGCGACTGATAGACTTCTCCACAACATCTTGGACAACCCGCTTTTCCGGGTGGCCCCCTCGGCCTCACCCATCTCTAGTAATGCGTCAGGCATGCGCGATGCGAAACAAAGAAGAATGTTGACGGAGCCCATGGTGGTATTCGACGAATTGGCGGCGGCAGGACATGTCACTAAAGGCGACCTTCTCCAATGCTTGCAGTATCAGTTAATGCTTGCAAGAGGTACCGGCGATGACTTTGTCAAGGCCATGAAAGATTCCAAAGCAGGGACCAAAGTTGTCAACTGGTGGCTTGCGTCGGGTTGGCGAGATCGGTTGAAGATATTTGATCATCGACAGACGTCTGCCACCTTGGTGAAGTTCATGGTTGCGGAGGGCATGCAAGATACTGTTTTGACCTGGTTAGAAATGTTGGCCAATGCCGATCTTCGGGCCTTCAATGGCCATATCAGCCGAAGCCTCGCCGAGCGTGTCGCTAGAAACCTTCTGACAGATTTTCTTGCCGCTGAGAATCAATATGGAGGTGGCTTGTCCTCCGCTATGCGGTACTACGTGCAGGTAGGAGATATGTATTTTTCCATGGAGGATCTGCATAACAGACGTGACACGAAAAACCTTCTTCGACACGCCGGTAAATATCTGTTCCAGCAGGTCAGTCGGGAAGTACCGAATGATGATAACGTGGTGTCTGCATCTGTCTATGAAGAATACGCCAGGGTGATTGCTACCGTGTGTACGGACTTTGTCACTGCCTCAGTGGCTCTCTACCACCCCACAGTACCCGACCCGAAGCCCTTTCTTCGGTATGTGTATAATAAGGATATGCCCACGTTGCAGACATGGCCGGTTGGCCTACGAGAGGTATTTGTGCGCAGTGGCTCGGTCGCGCTCCGTCTTTTGATGGACCAGGGGAAGCGGGGAGATGCCACATGGCTGGCAGGTATCCTGCAGCACGTGTCAGACACGGATAAAGCGAAGGTCGAACATGAAGCATCCGCAGATGAAAAGGCTTTGCTTTCTCGACTACTTCGAGTAGACATGGCGTGGACCTGATTGATGTAACCGTTCTTCTACAGCGTTTGTGGAATAATTTACGAAAAGTCTTCATGCAATGCAGCTCTTTGACCGGGCTGATTTGCGTCACGGATCCTAACGGAAGCGCGCAGATCGAGGGGATGGGATTCGTCAGCCATGTTTCGCTGCCAACCAGCCAGCACCATTGTTATTGCGACAGTCACACCAAAGCACCAACTCCCCCCGGCATTCATACTCCGCATCGGACTCCACTCCTGCCGCTAAGGGGTGCTTTCTCCTCTTCTTGGCGTGCTTACCTCTAACGACAACCCCGGTGCAGCTAGGGCTTATCCCTTCCCCTCAGGCTGAGCATCGGTGCAATTCTTAGTGGTTCTGTTGATTTCTCGATCTGGAATGCAAGAGGGGACTGCCGAGATTGGGTTCCGCGTGAATCGGGCTAGCGCCCCTGGTCGTGCCTTAGTAAACGTCACGGCGCAACCTCACCTCGTCTTCTTCTCGGACCTTCTCCCAACAGCCGCTCCGTCTGAGCAGATGATCTTCGGCTTCTCCGTCATCCCTTGATTGGAATACTAGTCGCATACCATTCGCGACCACAAGTTTTGCAGACAAGACGAAGGCACCTTTGACGAAACTTCACCGTTTCCCGCTTTATTCAGCAATTGCGGGCAGTTATGGCTTCCCAACCTAGTAATCACTCCATAACATCATCGGGTATGTCAAGGTCCGGTTCTATATACCTTTCGCCTTGTGGTTTCTCCTCGTCCGGCTCTCCCATACTCCAGATGTTATATACTGACAATTCAGAAGAACAAGAGCCAACAAACGGCACCAATTTTCCAGCGAAACCATCCTCCGCGACTGAGCCCGCTGGGGAGAGCAAGCCTACTTCAGACACCAAGACCGTTGATGAAGCGAAATCTACCGATGAGACAGGACCCCGCTCGCAGGTTCCCACATCTGTAGATACAGCTCCCAAGGAGTCTGTTACTGAGTTGAATGTGGGTGAGAAGCGGGAGCACGAGGTGACACCCGCGACAGTGGAAGCGGATAAAACTGGCGCTGATGATGCAACTGAGCCTGCAACCAAGAAGAAGAAGAGGAATGATGCAGAGAAAAATGGGCCGGAAACCCCACCGCCATTTCCTACGACTGCGAAGCACACTAAGAACGGCTTAACTACAAATGGTGACAAGAAGAAGGGTGGGCGATCAAAAACTGCAAAGGAATCTGTCAAAAGAGAGCCCCCGACGGATGGTATCAGTAGTCGAACACGCAGTCGCACTAAGGTTGCTCTTTGAAGCCTCTGATCGTTTGTCTCATGAAGTTAGGCGTGGCATTCATCAAGATGGCACTTGTCGAAAAACAGACGGAAGTTAGAATACCTCTTGTGTATGAGAGTATCAATTGCTTGAACAGCAAAATATGAACTTGATTAGCATGGCTGCTATGATAAGTTGAATTGTTCTCTATGCCATTGAGAACAGCCCTATCGTAGCCATCTCTGGCATTTCTATTCGAGGCATATTCTAGGGCTGACCTCTCGTAATTGCGGTATCTCAAATCGCCGAAATCGGCGATGACCGTGCACGCTGAGTCACATTCCGGGACGGAACAACCACTCTTCTTCCCCGCTATCACCAGAGGGGCAAGTCTGTGTCATAGGTCCAGCAGCGATAGCATTAATTTCTCGTCGAAGAACTTTAAAAATTCTGATTCTGAACATCAACTCCACGCAGATAACACCCAATTGCCATCTTACAAACATGTCCTCCAACAAGATCTGGCTGCGTGCCGAAACCAAGCCCGCCGAGGCTCGGTCTGCCTGTGAGTATTGGACCTCAAGCCAATTGCATATTACTCTAGGATGCTAATATGGTGCAGTGACCCCAACTACCTGCAAGGCTCTTATGGATGCTGGATATGAAGTGACTGTCGAGCGCTCCACCCAGCGGATTTTTGATGGTAAGAGAGACATCTTCCTAACACACGATTACAATGACGTTTAAGGGGCTACTACGGCTGGTTAGCAGCTGTAGCCTTTAATGCTTGTCACCTCCACACTCGGATTTGTGAACCTGTCTAACATAATTATCTCTTTTTAGACGAAGATTTTGCCAAGGTATGCGTGTAGAAGCACGTCACCCTTTTGTTCGTACGGATTCTCACCTTTCTATCCTACAGATTGGCGCACCGCTGGTGGAGGAAGGTTCTTGGGTGAAGGATGCCCCCAAGGATGCCTACATTCTGGGTCTCAAGGAGCTCCCTGAGGATGATTTCCCCCTTGAGCACGTTCACATCTCCTTTGCACACTGCTACAAGCAGCAGGGTGGCTGGGAGCAGGTCCTCAGCCGCTGGCCTCGGGGAGGTGGTACTCTCTTGGATCTTGAATTCCTCACCGATGATGTTGGTCGGAGAGTCGCTGGTAAGATCTATGCATGAATATGTACCATTACAGCAGCTGATCTTATGCCTTAGCTTTCGGTTGGTCCGCCGGTTATGCAGGTTCCGCTTTGGCTGTTAAGAACTGGGCTTGGCAGTTGACGCACCCCGAGGGCGAGCCTTTGCCTGGTGAGGTTCCGTACATCAACCAGGATGCCCTGATCGAGTCGGTCAAGAAGTCCCTCGAGGAGGGTAAGAAGCAGTCTGGCCGCTCTCCCAAGATCCTTGTCATTGGCGCTGTGAGTTATTCGTCTTGTCTAACCTAACAACTCTTCTGACAATGTCACAGCTCGGCCGTTGTGGCAGTGGTGCTGTGCAGCTCGCCAAGGACGTGGGTATTCCCGACTCCGACATCGTTCGGTGGGATATCGAGGAAACCAAGAAGGGTCAGTTGTCTTTAGCCTTTTGTTGCTTTCGTGCACTAACATCTATTGCAGGCGGTCCCTTCCGGGAAATCGTTGAGGATGTCGATATTCTCGTCAACTGCATTTACCTCAGCGCACAGATCCCACCCTTCGTTACTCCAGAGACTCTTACTTCGCCGAACCGCCGCTTGTCGGTTATCTGCGATGTGAGCGCTGATACGTAAGGCTCCCATTTCCCGACCTTGGGAATTCCGCTGACCATTGTATAACTTCTTTCTTATAGTACCAACCCCCACAACCCTCTCCCTGTGTATTCTATCACTACTACCTTTGACAAGCCTACTGTTCCCGTCACCTTGGCAGGTGGAAGCCAGGTCGCTGGCCTAAGTGTGATCAGCATCGATCACCTTCCGTCTCTTCTGCCCCGTGAGAGCTCGGAGATGTTCAGCCAGGCCTTGCTCCCTAGCTTGCTCCAGCTGAAGGACCGGCAAAACGCCCGCGTCTGGAAGCAGGCTGAGGACCTTTTCAATGAAAAGGTTGCTACGTTGCCCGAGTCCCTACGGGCCTAAATGATGCACTTCTTCGAAATCAGGCTGGCTTCTGAAAAAAGAAGGATTTTTGCGTGTATTATGGGTACCGATTGATACGATGCTTTCCTGAAAATCTCGATGGTTTATGGATGTTAGCATGTTATGATATGAGACTATTGACTAGAATAGAGGCAACAAAAAGTGTTGTTAAAGTAATATCATGCGTTATGGGGTAAGCTCCCACGAAGTGTACAGTGCTAGTGTTTCCGCGTGGTGGTTTCCTTTGTTTTGTGACTCGGGCTGAGGCGGAGGCTCAGGCAAATAGAACATTCGAGTGCCCCTCCTCCTTCTCACCCCGATCACACCGGGCACACCCGCTCATCATTATTGTTTCTCGTGGGGTTCGTTCGGACTTCGTGCTCTTAAACCGAACCTGCCATGTATCCGCTGTGGTTGTTAGCTTGATTGTCAGATTGCTTCGTTACACTGAGCCTCGCCATGCTATTACAGGAGGCAGCAAGGGATTTGCGTGCTGTATCGACAGGAGTGAGCCCTTCGAGCTTGCAACCATCCCCTATCCCCTGAAATTATAGCTTTGCGGATGTCTCGGACTACCACTGGGATCTCTTGGTTCATCCTCAGATCTTCGGAATAGTTGAACCATAGTGATTTACCAATAAAGTAATGTGGGGATCATGAACCGCTGTGGGAAACGCCGAAGTCTCCCGTCGGTGCGCTGAGCATAGCGGGCGCTCGGCGCTGAGAAACATCCGAGAATACCAAGGAAAACAGAGAAGCAGCCCTGCTACCGCCTATCCAACGAGAAGTCTTCCGTTGCGGCTACCGCGTCGAATAGGTTCGTCAAGTATTCTCGTGTTTGGCATGTACTGGAGTGGGATACCAGCCGCCTCATTACTCTATTCTGGTGAGAACGCTGTCATTGGCGGCCCCCCTCCTGTCTACCTGAAATTACCCCATGCCCTCTCCACACCCTCGGTTCTATGGGGGAACTGCTGCTGACGGTTATCCCGCTCATAGCCATCGAACAACTGATAAACCCCCCCATTTGATCCCATGGACCCCTGAAGGCTGCGTATATGTGAGAGGATACAAGTGTAGGAGGAAATTTTCGGCTTGGCTCGTCTTCTTGGCACCGGAGTTCCGTGTCTGTTTGAACTACCCAGCTTCATGGCACATCTTTCGATGGATCAACCATAGCATTGACGTCGACGACCGCTTCTCTCCGTCCCCCAGTCCTTCTCTCCTCAGCTACACAACCCGACATATATAAAAGGCGATGCAGGAAAAATCAAGCACTGTCGCCGCTTATGCGGCGGGAGCATCTCTTGCGGCTATTGCTTTATTCTATGTCTTCGGCCCCAACTACACTATCGATGGAGACGAGTCATACGACAATTCCCGCAAGAAGAACATTGTTGGCTTGTCCAACCCCGCCAATGACTGCTTTATCAACTCGGTGTTGCAGGCTCTTGCAGGGCTTGGTGATCTACGTGTCTACCTGATCAGAGAGCTCCATAGGCGTGAACTAGACGGTTCTGATATATACAACGAACTTCCCTCACCGGATGATATACCTCGGGATGCGAAGCCAGACAGGATACGGGAATTGCAACAGGGTACCATCACCAGGGCTCTCAAGGAGATGCTCGACCGACTGAACGAACGCCCGATCTACAAGAAAACCATATCTGCGCGGCCCTTCATCCAGTCTCTTGAGTATGCCTATCGGACGCGGATTAGTCGTAGTCAGCAGGATGCGCAGGAGTTCTTGCAGATTGTCGCAGAAAGACTTTGCGATGAGTACCACGCCGGCGCTAAAGCACGATCACGAGCGAAGATCATACCGGCGTTAACGCCAGGTCCGGAGTCTGTAGAACCAGGCAATGTGACTTCTCCCAACAGCCCTGCAGAGGTTGAGGTGCGGATTGATGACGGATCTGAGAACGGGTTGCCCGCCATTATCGACAACAGACTCAAAGAAATCGACCACGAGTACGGCTTCCCTTTCGAAGGAAAGCTCGAGTCCCAGATCGAGTGCCTGTTTTGCCACTATCAATACAAGCCTAACCAGACTTCTTTTGTAAATTTGACCTTGCAAGTGCCTCAAAAGAGCTCTACCACGCTTAGCGCCTGCTTTGACGGTTTACTCAAAACTGAATATATCGAAGATTTCAAGTGCGACAAATGTCGATTGCAGCATGCTCTTGAGGTCAAGGCCCAGGAATTGCACCGGACCCGCGCCAAAGATGACCGGGCCAGGCTCGAGGCAGAAATCCAGCAAATTCAGACGGCCCTCGCCACAAACCCAGAAGGTCCTTTAGAGGGTGTAATCTTGCCAGCTTCTGAACTCGCCCCCAAACGAAAAATTGCGAGGCATATGCGGATAACGGCCTTCCCCAAAATCATTGCCATTCATCTTTCGCGATCGATCTTTGACCACACCAGCTCTACCAAGAACGCAGCCAAAGTATCTTTTCCGGAGCGGCTGCCTTTGGGTGGTATCTTGAGCCGAGAATGGTACAAGCTGTTGGCAATTGTCTGTCATAAAGGCAGCCACCATAGCGGACATTACGAGTCATTCCGACGCAATACCCTTTATCCACCCTTCTCAACGCCAGATGTATTCAGTTCGTACGCTCAGAGTCGGGCAACTAGCGAAAACCCATCCGAGGCGCCTAGCCCTCAGCTAAAGGCTCGCAACTCGTCAGAGAGCGAGCCGGCACCCCTAAGCATCTCGACATCGACAGGGTCACCGACCGGTCCCTCTCAACTGCAACCACCCCCGTCACCGATGCCTCGACCGACATCGAGCCCACGAGTGTCTTTCCAGAGCACTCGCTCGAAGTCGTCAACATCCAAGCAAAACCTATCGCCTGTGTCAGATCCGCACAGCTCATCCTCCACTGAGGGTGGACGCTGGAGCAAGTCATTCTCGCGAGCGTCGTTCACCAGCGATCGCAGTACGCCAGCAACTTCAGTTGAAGCATCGGCCGGATCCAGCAGTCGGCTCCGTCGACGCCGTAAGCAGAACGACCGATGGTGGCGTGTCTCGGACGAGAAAGTCAAAGAATGCAAAACATCCGATGTTTTGGGGATGCAGCGCGAGGTCTACCTCTTGTTCTATGAGATTGAGAAGCCCACGCCTGGCGCGTAAGCGGTCTTCAATTTCGCTTCTATTTTATGCATATACGAGGGGAAAAAAAAAAAAAAAAAAAAAAAAAAAAAAAAAAAAAAAAAAAAAAAAAAAGAACAAACGCATACTGGATAAATAGAGGAGTATCTCGGGGGTACATACAAGCCCATTTCACCGACCCATGTAAGGAGCCTTGTCGCGCAGCGGCTCAGGAATGACAGTTATGCAAAAGGAACATCAAAACCATATTAGACAGTACACAGTATTAGACACATGCACGAGGTTCATACTTCCTAATATTTAAGATAGTAAAAGCACAGCTCACATCACGGATATCTTCATTCTACTACTATCCAGTAACACGCACATTCCCGCGTCCCCTGACTGTCATACGACGGGCACGACCGCTAATGCAGTGCGCCCCTTTGAAAAACAGGGAACCCAATCACCTCATCACCGCCTTAGTCAGTGCAGGGAGCCCCCGGAACCGCCTCCCGTCCCAACAACACTCCCTGATTGGAGCGCACAACACTTTTCTGTTCCAGGTTCCGAATATCCCTGCCATCATCTCAATATTTATTATTGTTTATTCTGGTGTGTTACTACTATTGAATTTCTCCAACACCGCATAATCTCACCGACCTAGTTTCCGCAACCCTTATCGCAAAATTTTCAAATCTCTTCTCTTTCCCTTTTCTCTCATACTTTGTCAATTTGTTCTGCCTACTTACCAATTCCTCTATCAATTCGGGTGTAGGCATCACATACTACATCTCACCTTACCGTCTTCCATAACCAAAAAAAAGGCGAAATACAAAACATACCATCACACAATGCCTCCCAAACGCGCAGCATCTAGCGCCTCAAAGGCCAAAACCGAGACTTCCTCGAAGACTGCTGCTGCCGACAAGGTGAAGAAGACCGCCAACACCAGCGCGAGCGCAAAACCCCAGGCTTCTTCGAGGAAGCGTAAGGCTGCAGACTCTGTGGAAGAGACGACAACGTCAGGGGCTGCACCAGCGGCGCCGGCGCGCGTGACCAAGAAGCAGAAGGGTGAGTTCAATCGATCAATTGCGTTGCGAAATTAGTGTCCTGCTTTGTTTTGGGGTTTGTTTTTGTGGCGCGTTCGATGATGTTGCTCCGCGGAATGTTGGGCTAACGGGTATTTGTTTCGTTCCGGTAGAAGCTCTGGCCGTCATCAACCACGCACCTACTCAGCGCCTCGATGTGTATGTCTTTGGAACGAATTGCTACGGTGAATTGGGTCTTGGTGATGCGACGAAAAAGTCTGAAATTCCTGGTCCGGTCCTGAACCCGAAGCTGCCCGCGGATTCGGTCGGTGTCGTGCAGTTGGCTATCGGTGGTGTGCACTCGGCTGCTCTTACGCACGATAACAAGATCCTTACTTGGGGTGTCAATGATGAGGGTACACTGGGTAGAGATACAAAGGAGGAGCGCAAGGTGGAGGAGAACGGTGATGGCGTGAATGGCGATGAGGCTAAGGAGGAGTCGGACTCGGACTCTGATGATGATGAGGTTGACCTCAACATGAAGGAGGCGACTCCCACGGCTGTGGACTCTGCTCTCTTCCCTGAAGGTACTGTTTTCACACAGATCACCGCGACGGATAGTGCCACTTTTGCTCTCACTCAGGAGGGTCGTGTCTATGGTTGGGGTACATTCAGAGTGAGTTGCCACGCTTATCTTTGAATTTATTGTTATTTTTGATCTAACTTGGAACAGGGAAGCAACGGTGTGATCGGTTTCTCTCCCGAGACGAAGATTCAAAGACAGCCAGTCTTGGTTCCCGGTCTCGAGAAAGTGACACAGCTTGCGTCTGGCGCACAACACGTCCTGGCGCTCACGGCGAAGGGCGCTGTTTTGACCTGGGGTTGTGAGGAGCAGAACCAGCTTGGTCGGAGAATTTCTGGACGTCTGCACGGCAAGCTCGAGAGTCTCATCCCGGGACAGTGCGCGCTTCCGTCGGATGTCGTGAGCATCGGAACTGGTTCTTACCACTCCTTTGCTGTCCGCAAGAACGGTCGCGTGCACGCCTGGGGTTCTAACAACTTCGGGCAGACGGCCGTTCCGATGAGCGCTGGAGAAAGCGATGCCGTTGTGCTCTACCCGACGGAAGTCAAGTCTTTCCGCAAGCACAGCAAGATCGTCTCCATCTGCGGTGGAAAGGACCACAGTGTGGCTGTCACCGAAGATGGAAAGTGCCTTTCATGGGGACGCGTGGATAACAAGGCTCTTGGTATCCCACTGGCGGACATGCCGGAGGAGGAGCTTGTGCACGATGAGCATGGACGGCCCCGTATCCTGACGGTGCCAACTCCCCTCACCGACATCAAGGAAGAGGTTGTCTTTGCGACAGCTTCCAGTGACCACTCTTTTGCTATCACCAAAGACGGTCAGGCGTACAGCTGGGGTTTCAACGTACAGCGTCAGGCCGGCCACCGCGATGTGGATGAGGTTGAACGGCCAACCCTCCTCCAAAATAAGCACGTTAACGGAAAGAAGCTGGTTGGTGCCGCAGGAGGAGGGCAGTTCAGTATGCTCGTTGGAGCCTACTCGCCGCAAGTGAACGGAACCGATGCTTGATATTTCTTGATGCGACTTTTGCAATAGTTTCTGTTACCCATTTGAATTGAGCTCTATGTATTATTATGTGACAGTAGTTACTAACTCCAATCACGAGAATTTTTGGGCATTGCGCTCCTAGTAGGAAGTGGATACTGATTGTATGCGTAAACACAACACTACAGACATGAACTAGCTGCTTCGATGCCGTTGGGGTCAGTTTTCCTCGGGTCTCGAACAATCCTGACTAGCCAGCCAGTCATCCGGACCATGCAGGTTGAACGTTTCGCCGGTGGTTATCCGGTTTTAGGCCCGGAATACTACAAGGACGAGGATATCCCCAACCCGGGGTTACCCAAGGCTCCACATATCGGCGGAAGAGCACCCCCTCTTTATCTTATTTTCAGATCAGCTGGACCGGGGAAGGACAGTCTAGGCCGTGACCGGCAGAAAAGCAACGAAGTGGTTGGAACATCCTGCAACGAGAACGGAGGAAAATTCCCGCTGAATTCTCCGGTGCTGGATGAAGCACGAAAGAAATACGGAGAGAACTGGGTCAATGTTTTCGCAGGCAGGAACCCAAAAGGGGCCAGTAGCCGAAATGGTTGTCCAGTGCAACCGGTTGACCATTGATCACAACGATGGATGATGTATCCTCTGGCCCTGTCTATGCTGCTGTATACAGACCCTGAGATACTACATACCTGCTATGTAGGCGTAAGGCGGAGTACTGTATCCACCTTGTCTAGCAGACCAGCAGCAATTACTACTGTTAAGCCAACCTGCTGCTTGATTCCAGGACGATAGAAAGTCGGACCGAAGGGAAGGCAGCCTGAATGATGTCATGTGATGGGCGCGGGGATTCCCGGGAGAATTATGCAGCCTGAGGCAGCCCGCAGCGTCATTGCGGGCTTCCGAATGAACCCCACCATAGCAGGCAGGAAAGGGAACAAGATGGAAGCATCATCATAGCCTCGGACTAGATTTGTCCGGTGTTGAAGACTTTAAAAAGATCTCTACAAGATCCCGGATAGAAGTTGGAAATTTCTTCCCCCCCCCTTCCCTCCAATTCTCTTCTTTACCCCTTCTTGATCTGCAATAATCTTTCAATAGCATCACCACGAACAGCTCTCTCCCGTGGAACCCCAACCGGTCACTGAAATCATACTGAACACATCATTCCCCACCACCCGGTGAGTCCTTCGAGTACCGTTGGCCCCTCCATGTCCCAAGTCCCCCCCCCCTCCTGGTCCTGTGTTGCCCCTCCTTGCCCGTGCTCGTCATTTAAATGTCCAGCTCCGTATTCGTCGCTCGGTAAAGCTTTTAGTCCTCTGCCACAGAATTTATTTGGTTCCTCTGTCTCGCTCCTCCTCCTGTTGTCCTCTTCTCTTCTCTCCATTCATCAATCTATCAATTACTCATCAGTTTACCTCCTTTAGTCCTCATCTACAAACTATCACAATGGGTGTCCTTGAACAGCTCTCCCGCAAGTCCGGTGTCATCGTTGGTGATGACGTTCTCCGTCTCTTCAACTACGCTAAGGAGAAGGGCTTTGCTATCCCCGCCATTGTAGGTCTCACCACCCCTCAATTTCATCCCGCAAAACCAGACTCCAGTGACTAACAGCGGTCCCCATCACTTTAGAACGTGACTTCCTCCTCCACCGTCGTCGCTTGCCTTGAGGCTGCTCGCGACCAGAAGTGCCCCATCGTCCTCCAGGTCTCCCAGGGTGGTGCTGCCTACTTCGCTGGCAAGGTACGTTTGGGAACATTCTTCCTGACCTATAGGTGCTTCTTTGAAGCCCAAAACAGCCACTGACTGTTCATGATAGGGTGTCAGCAACGATGGCCAGGCGGCCTCCATTGCCGGTGGTATCGCCGCTGCCCACTACATCCGCAGCATTGCTCCCACCTACGGCGTCCCCGTCGTCCTCCACACCGACCACTGCGCCAAGAAGCTCCTTCCCTGGCTCGATGGTCTCCTCGACGCGGATGAGGCATACTTCAAGCTCCACGGCGAGCCCCTCTTCTCCAGCCACATGATTGACCTGTCTGAGGAGCCCGTCGACTACAACATCCAGACCACCGCCGCTTACCTCAAGCGTGCTGCCCCCATGAAGCAGTGGCTCGAGATGGTATGTGTTACTGTCATTGCTACTAGATAAGATCGTCGACTGACTCTATTTAGGAAATCGGTATCACCGGTGGTGAGGAGGATGGTGTCAACAACGAGGATGTTGACAACAACTCCCTGTACACTCAGCCCGAGGACATCCTTGCCATCCACAACGCCCTTGCTCCCATCAGCCCCTACTTCTCCATTGCCGCTGGTTTCGGTAATGTGCACGGTGTCTACAAGCCCGGCAACGTCCGTCTCCACCCCGAGCTTCTCCAGAAGCACCAGGCCTACGTCAAGGAGAAGACCAACTCCTCCTCTGACAAGCCTGTCTTCTTTGTCTTCCACGGTGGCTCCGGCTCTTCCAAGGAGGAGTACAAGGAGGCTATCAGCTACGGTGTTGTCAAGGTCAACCTTGACACTGACATGCAGTTCGCCTACATGTCCGGTATCCGTGACTACATGCTCAACAAGAAGGACTACCTCCTGACCGCTGTCGGTAACCCCGACGGTGAGGACAAGCCCAACAAGAAGTTCTTCGACCCCCGCGTCTGGGTTCGTGAGGGTGAGAAGACCATGTCCAAGCGTGTCCAGGTTGCTCTGGAGGACTTCAACACTGCTGGCCAGCTGTAAAAAGGTCTTGACGTTTACCTGATGTGATGTGCCTTCGGAATATGACGAAACCAGATACCAGTACATAAAATGACAATTTCTGAGAACGGCAAAAAATATGTTGTTTGTTTGACCGTAACCTGGAGCCATGATACGGGGCCCCATTGGCTACCTCTGTGGGGATGCTTGATGTTGATTGATACGGAGTTCTGAGAGCGGTGATGATGCTGATGACGATGTATGTAGTACTCCGTAAGTAGTCTAAAGACGAAATAAAGTAATGTCTGCTGTATGAAACTTAATGCGCACGTTGTGATCACTTCGGCAGCGTCACCGAGCGATGACTTCATGGACCCGTGTTCGCTCCAATCAGCCGTAGGTAATGGAGGTTGTCTCAGGACATCAATTCACGCAAACATGAACCCTTTCCCGCTCTGTATGTATAAATAGAATACTCGGGTGTGATGCTGTCAGCTTGGACCCATGATCACCATCGAGATCGACCAGTGAGAGGAAGGCTATTCCGTCTATATCAGCTCTGCTTGCCTCAACTGTATCCTGCACCAATGCAATCAATTCCTTCCCCGTTGCCACCATCATCTGTGCGCGGCTAATCGAATTTCTAGTCCATGGGGTCATTGTGTTGGACCCTGAAACCTGATCGACTGAGTGGTTCTGGTGCTCCCAATTTTCATGACTTCAGCTTCTCTGTCCCCCTTTTCTGACTGTGTAAGACGGATCCTCACTACTATTGGCAATAGTAGTGAAATAGCCGTGCACCAAGTAGAGTACAAAGTATCCGTGGTGCGAAAAGGGGTTACATAATCCGAGGGATCAGATAGCCATATCAGCCGGTACATGGCTATCATGAGGTGCCGTCATTCTCTTCTACTGTGCCCAATGAGACTGAGATTCGCTAACAGGGCCCGTTTTCTTTCACTTGATGGAGCTTTCTTCTGTTCTCCATCTGACCCAGAGCCACAGAGTTGCTGGTCAGCCACACTGGTAAGTATGGTCAGGTAAGGTACCCGGACAGCATTGCCATGTATTGCGGCCAATCAAGCCAACGGACGCCCCGAAATACCAGACTCCACTGGCCGTAAGTGCCAAGAATGTGTCTCAGAAAGGCAGCGCTAGTCCGAAGATGATCAGAAATTGTTCCAGACTGGCTGGCAATGGCTGACCGGGATTGGCCCACCAAAATAGCAAGCCGGTCGAGGATGGGGCATGAACCAACCAAATTGCCCGAGTGGATCAGGGCTGTTGTGGTTTTTGCTTTTCTGTCACTGAATTTGCTGGAAAGTCTGTTTTTGAGGCGAGCACTGCTGGCACGGTCACCGAGTGACCCTGAAAACCCGTGCGGCAGAGGAACGAGCATGGAGGGCCTGAAGGATATAGAAAGGGGGAGGAGGAAAAAGTAGTTGAATACATCTGCAATCAAGCAGGGGAAAATCAAGCTTCCTACATTCTAGATCGGCTGTCCCCGGTCATGCGAGGACCAATGACACCACAGACAGCGTATCACTACTTGGTTAATTAATGCATTTCCGACCGAGCCTGCCTGTCAATCGGGCCTGATACGTACCTCCGGTACGTAAGTAAGACCGCCCATTGATCCCCAGAAGATTGGATTGATGGGCAACGGCCACTCCAACCTTGTCGGCGTCGTGTGTTCCAGACCCGCCTCCAACAAAACCCACTCGGGCCCTCTTGCTTCTCCATCATCATTCAGTTTCTTCCGTGGCCATCAATTCCTTTATCTGGTTCGGTTTCACTCTCGTTTTCTTCCCTTCTCTGCCGGTGGCATCGTCCCTTCTTTCTTTGTCTATCTCATCCTCCCCTCGTTTCTCCTGTTCTGCTCCCTCGATGCCGCCCCGTCTCGCCCGCCATCATGCATCCTAGCGCTCTTCAGCAGCGCGATGACCCCACGGAGCAATTCCTGAAGCTCATCTCGAATCCTTTCTCGTCTGCCGTATGTTTTTTTCTCGCCCACCCGCCACTTTCAGCCTCCGACAGCCAGCTAAGACATTTTTATAGTTCCAAGTCAACGCCATCTGGGCTTCATTAGCCACTTCCGCGGGCTTCTCCATCCTCTTGGCCTTATTGTTCTCCCTCTTCCGCCCTCGCCATTCGGTTGTCTATGCGCCTAAGGTGAAACATGCCGATCACAAACACACTCCGCCGCCAGTGGGCAGGGGCTTCTTCGCCTGGCTCAAGCCTGTGCTGCGGACCAAGGAGCCGGCGTTGGTCGACTGCATTGGGCTCGATGCAACCATGTTTGTTCGCTTCACCAAGATGTGCCGGAATATCTTTATCTTCCTGAGCATCATCGGCTGCGGCTTGATGATCCCGCTCAATCTCACACAGAGCACGGGTGATACAGTGTCCCAGTATGGTGCCTTCTCGACGATGACCGTGCTCTACGTTACGTCAGACGCAATCTGGGGCCAGGTGGTCTGCGCGTGGGCCTTCGATGCGATCATTGCTTTCTTTCTCTGGAGAAATTACAAGGGCGTGCTGGCGCTGCGGAGGAAGTATTTTGAGAGTCCCGAATACCAGCGCAGTCTCCATGCGCGAACCTTGATGGTGCGTTGAAGCAATCCTATAGACACGCTGTACCTGTACCTGTACTGACCCATTGCGCCGGCAGATTACTGATATTCCTCCCGCAGCTCGAGGGGATGAAGGTGTTCTGCGTTTGACGGATGAGGTAAATCCAACCGCCGCCGTCCCGCGAGCCTCCATCGGCCGTAACGTTAAGGGACTGCCTCGTCTGATTAAGGAACACGACGAAACTGTGCGCGAACTCGAAGCAGTCCTGGCCAAATACCTTAAACACCCAGATCGGCTTCCACCGAATCGTCCGACTATGCGCCCTCCGCGAAAGGAAAGAAAGGAGCACACTAACGGCCGCGTGGATGCTATTGACTATTTGACGGATAAAATCAAGAGACTGGAAGAAGAGATTAAGCATGTTCGATCATCGATTGATCGGCGCAATGCCATGGCCTTCGGTTTTGTCAGCTGGGATATGATTGAGCATGCCCACGCCGTTGCTTATACCGCGCGCAAAAAGCACCCGGAAGGAACTACGATCGTTCTGGCGCCCCGGCCCGATGACCTCATTTGGGAAAATCTGCCACTGTCGAAGGCTGCGCGCAAGTGGAAGCGGTTTCTTAGTGCAATTTGGGTGTCGCTTCTTACGCTGGTATACGTCGTACCTAACGGCTTGATTGCGATCTTCTTGTCCAACTTGAACAACCTGGCCTCGGTTTGGCCGGCATTCCGGACTTCGATGAATAACAGTCCTTACATCTGGGCTGCAGTCCAGGGTATCCTGTCCCCTGCCGTTACCTCCCTTGTTTACATTGTCTTGCCCATCATCTTCCGTCGGTTGGCAATCCGAGCCGGCGATGTCACCAAGACCTCCCGAGAGCGCCATGTTCTCAACAAGCTCTACACTTTCTTCGTCTTCAACAATTTGATCGTCTTTTCCTTGTTTTCTGCGGCGTGGACATTCGTGTCCGCCGTCATTGATGCAGAGCGCTCCGATGAAAACGCCTGGCAAGCGATCAAAGACGGGAAACTCTATATCAAGATTGTGAACGCTATGTGCCAGGTCTCCCCATTTTGGGTGACATATTTGCTGCAGCGTAATCTCGGAGCCACAATCGACCTCATTCAGCTGGTCTCGGTCTTTTGGGTCTGGTTCTCCAAGACATTTCTCTCGCCAACGCCTCGGCAGGCGATTGAATGGACAGCCCCGCCGGCTTTTGACTACGCAAGCTACTATAACTACTTCTTGTTCTACGCGACCGTGGCCCTCTGCTTCGCTACCCTGCAGCCGATTGTCCTCCCGGTCACTGCATTGTACTTTGGCCTGGATGCGATGATGAAGAAATACATGCTTCTGTATGTCTTCGTGACGAAGACGGAGTCTGGAGGGCAGTTTTGGCGGGTTTTGTTCAACCGCATGCTCTTTGCCGTGATTCTCTCCAACATTATCATCATCATCGTGGCTACCGCCAAGGGCACGTGGACTATGGTTTATTGCGTGATTCCTCCTCCTCTCCTGATGTTGGGTTTCAAGTTTTATTGCATGAGAAAGTTCGACGACGATATCACGTTCTACAACCGCGCGAATTTGACAGATGCTGAAGCCCTGGCGGTTAGCCAGCCGAACAAGAAGGCATCTGAGCGGCTTAACTCCAAGTTCGGCCACCCGGCTCTCTACAAGCCGCTCATCACGCCGATGGTGCACGCCAAGGCTGCGGAGGCCTTGAAGCGTATCTATAGCGGCCGGCTGGGAACGTTCGAGGGCGAAGGTGAATATTCCGATATCGCGATGGATGCCATGTCGTCTTCACACCCGGGCAAGTCGATGATGGACGATGCAAACGCAGCAGCTCCGTTCGAAGTGGTCCCGGAGAACCATTTGGATTTCTCGTACTACAAGAACCGCCCCGACTTCCGGGACGAGTTTGGCGGAGGTATCTACGGCCGGCCCGACGATCTGATGACCGAACGCTCGCACACACCGGCCAGTGCGCTGGGAGAATGGTCGCCAACCTCCTCGCGGGCATCATCTCCCGCTCCATCGCTGCCGTCGTCGCTGTCCGGCTTGAAGCCACATGACCCATACGACCCGACATTGAATGACCATATTCATCCCGCCTTCCGCGTACCGGCCCCGATGAGCGGTGGATTCTACCAGCAGCGTAACGAGAGCGAGACGGAGCTGCTCCATCACGCGCAGGGCCCGGCGGTCAACGAGACGGTGACGCCGCTGGATCGGTGGCGGACGAGGGGATATGGACCTGTAGAGCAGGACGACCCCAGCTTCACCTCGTACGAACACTACCGGATGCCACGGTAAATGATCTTGATTTTACAGCGATAACGATTGTGCATAGACATTGGGCTGGGATTTGGGTGGAGTACGGAAGACATGTGCCTACGACTTTTGATTAGAATTGCTGTACATAAATTGCATATGAGCATATTCCTGGACATTTAACAAAAATGATACCTGCTTGTTGAATATAAATAGTCTGTGTTCCCTACAGTCAGCTTATAGTAGTGTGCTTCGTGCACCCCCGCGGAAGGTGCTGACGAATTGCCCGATTTGGCAGAGGTCTTATCCTCGCCAAGTCGGCCGGCGATCATCGAATCCCAGCAGTTCCCCCCTGTTCACCAGGGTTGTATCCAAGCCTCATCGCCTCTGGTGATGCCACCGCCTGTGATTTCTCTTCTCCGTACATGAAAGTCTGACCTTCATTCGTTAGCTACCTACCTTGC